TTTTTTAAATTAAAAAAAAAGGAAACACATATAAAGTACTTTCAGGAGCATAGTTTTATCATATAACAATTATATAATCATTTTGCTATGAATTTTTATAGGAAAATCTCCTATAGAATGTCCCTACAAAACTATTTAACCTGAATCTAGTCATGTAGAAAAATAAAACTAAACAATAAACCAATATTAAAATTGTTTATATCATCAAAAACAAAGTATGCTAAAAAAGAAAAAACCTTCTGGATTAAAGAAATAACTAAATACATTGTGTGATCATGGGTTACATTAGCTAAAATAGAGAACTATTATTACCTGGACAACTGGAAAACCCTAAAGATGAAATGAATATTAGCTAGTAGTACTGTAACAATAAGTGCCCCAAATGTTATCATTGTGACATGGTTGTATGTTGGAGAAAGTTCATGCTCTTAGAAGATGCATATTTTTGGGGTGCAGCTCCATGAAGACTGCAACTTACTCTTAAATGGTCCAGAGGGAAAAATCAGACACAGATACACACATACAAACACATACACATCAGAGAGAAAAATAAAGCAAATGTGGAAAAACATTAACAACAGTGACTCTAGGAAAAACATATATGGTGCCATTGTTAAGCAGGGGTGTTTTGGTGTTTTCGTTCCTTTGTTGCTTTTTGTTCTTTTGTTTTGTGGAATGCAGGGTCTTTGTAATAAGCAAAATCCCCATCCTTCTATTTTTTATTTTGAGACAAGATCTTTTAAGTTGCTAAATTGCCCGCATTAGGCTGAATTGTGTGATCTTTCTGCCTCAGCCTCCTAAAGTTCTAGGATTACAGGAATACGCTGCCTCATCCAACTTTGAAGTCTTTTTCTTTCTTAACACAAAATTAGAAAGATAAAAAGTACAATCATGCTAAAATAAAAGGAAAGTTTTCAGGTGATAAGTTCATTCTTTCAAAAGGCCTTTCCTTATACTACTATAGACTCTTTTAAGCAAAGCACTGAACTGTGGTCTTTTTTTTTTTTTTTTTTTTTTTTTTTCATTTTTGGTACCAGTGATCAAACTCAGTGTCTTGTGCTTGAAAGGCAGGCACGGTGCCATTAAGCTAAATCCCCAGCCCTGTCCTTTCTAAGTTGAATACTTTTTTCCCTTAAGGATAAAGAACAAAAATTACATTCCCTTAAAATTATTTATCTGTTATTTAAGGAACCAGATACTAAGGCTATGCTTCTTCTTTCCAACTTGGGCAAGGCTATGAACCACCAAAGAAAAGAGGTAAAAAATGGTATCAGTCAAATATTTAGGCAATGGGCTGGGGATTTAGCTCAGTGGTTCCGCCGCCTGCCTCACAAGCACAAGATCGCGAGTTGGATCCCCAGTACCAAAAACAAACAAACAAACAAATATTTAGGCCATGAGCTCAAAACAGTACACTCAAAGATCCTTCAAGAGATCAATTTCAATCTATTTTTCTTTTCAGAGAGGCTGGTATAATATTCTAAAACTTTAGCAGAGTGGAAGAAAAGGAAAATTAATTATTAGGATTATGTCAAATGTTCTTTCCTCAAACACTGCTTTCCCAGCAAACTTCTAGGTAAAGATTCTGTAATGACTCTACTACAGTACTCCATCAGCCAGCCTCATCCAGAACCTGCAGGTAAAGGCAGGAGCAAAAACATTACAACACCTTAGCCTCTTGGGTTAACAGATGTTTTATGCTTTAAATGGTAGAATTTAGTGTTGGGGATATTTTTAAATTTTTCACTGATTTAATTCTCTAGCTTTTCTCCAACTATTTTCCACATGGAATTTGAATAAATCATAAACTATGCTCTTTCCTCTTTGCTAAGGTATTATGTAGATTTACAGACCTCTAAATAGAAGTGAGTAATCTCTACAACATAGGCAAAAAAATGCACAGAAATGAAATAATCTCACAGTCAATAACGAACATGTCTGAGATCTGAATCTGGGATCAAAGATAAAACTTTTGATTTTGTTTTTAGTCTGGCTGCTCTTTAGCTTTATTTTCATTTTTGTAGTAAGCCATACAAAGTAAAAGACTTCTCAAGATCACAGTAAACTGAGTAAGACTCCCTCTGTTGGCATGGCATGAGTCCATTACACACCTACATAAACTACCACCACCAAAAGTTGACTTCAGAATTGGAAAATCCAGTTTTATTTCAGGAGTTCCTACAGACCATATACTTTATGGTAGCAACTTTTCCTCTAACAAGGAAAGTAGATATAAAATATGAAAAAAAAATTTTTGGTACGAGGGATCAGACTTGGAATCTTGTATTTGCAAGGCAGGTGGCAGAACCACTGAGCTAAATCCCCAGACCTAAAATATGAATTCAGGTCCTTGTGCTTGGGAAGCAGGTGCTGGAACCACTGAGCTAAATCCTTGGCCCAAAATATGAAATTTTTAAGGTATCCAGATATACTCTCTAACAGAGAGTGTTTAAGAAGTATATTATTTGAGACCAGGTGTGGTGGTGTACACCTATAATCCCAGCACTTGGGAGGTTGAGGCAAGAGGATTGCCACAAATTTAAGGGCAGCCTGGACTACATAATGAGTTCAGGGCCAACATGAACTACAAAGTGAGATCCTGTCTCAAAAAACAAAACAAAACAAAAAAAAGTATATTAGATTAAAAATTTTAAAAAAGTGTATGTATTTAAATAATTGTGCCTTTTGACCACATAGCTTCTATAACTTTTATTTCTTTCTTAAAATATTTTTATTTTTAATTCACAAAGAGTAATTCTATATACTTATGATGTGCAATGTGACTTGAATACATACAGTGTATATAATGTACAATTATCAGAATAGGGTAAATGGCTATTATCTCAAGCATTTATCATTTATTTGTCTTAGAAACATTTACTTCAAAATTAGGGTCAGGGATTTAGCTCAGTAGCACCACACCTGCCTCATGAGCATGAGGTCGTGAATTCGACTTCCAGTACAAAAAAAAAAATGCTCAATTAATTGTTGTCAACCATCGTTACCCTATCATGCCAAAGAGCACAAAGTTAGTTATTCCTCTGATCCAACATAACTTTTTATTCTTAAGAATGTTATTTTACTCCAGAACCACATGGAATATTAAAGAAAACACAGTTTTCAATAAATGATTCCATACATTCCATTTTCCCATTAGTCAATATATTGATCATTATGCTGAAAATGTTTTATGCTTACATTCAAAATGGGAATTTGAGCACAACATTGCAATTTCAACAACTGTTAATTTAAAAATAGTTTGCTGTTGTATATCTGACTTTCTGTGCTTGTCAACCCAGCTAATAACACCATATTCAGTCTTTTTTCCTAACAATAATTATTCATATTATTTAAAAATTGTCACTTTGAAAAAAAAATTTTTAGTTTCACACAGTTACAGCACAAGCCTATCGAAACCCTAACAACCTTGTTCTTGGATAATGTTTTATGTTTTTTAGGACATATTTGCTGTAAAAAATGATAATATTCATCACAGGGAGTTGTACAAGTACATAGCACAACTTCATTCTTTTCACTTCCCCTTACCCTCCTACACCTCCCCACTCCTTCCATCTCTGGTTCCCCTTCCCACTTGCACAGCTGGATGATTTTTTTAAAAAATCTGTTCTGTGAATAAGTAATCTTGCAGCCAGGCATGCTTGTAATCCCAGCAATCAGGAGGCTGAGGCAGTGAGTTTGAGGCCAGCCTAAGCTATATAGTGAATTCGAGGCCAGCATGAACTACATAGTGAGACACTGTCTTAAAAAACCAAAAACTTAAAAATTAAAAATTAAAAAATAAAGTAATCTTGCCCACAGTCATAAACAGTGAACAGTACTGAAATAAAACAAATATCAGGGTAAGAACAAAATTTCAACAGTAAAAGATCTTTAATTTGACCTTGGGTAGGCACTAAACTTCCTTTTTAAAACACTAATCAAAAACACAAATCTGAGTTTATTTTCTTATTTATCCCCTCTCAAATTAGGTCGAGGTGAGAGAGATAAGGAATACATACTCAAAACAAGAAAGCCTCCCCAATGGGATAGGAGAATGGAAGGGCTTTTGAATGACCCCTGAAGCAAGGAGCACATACCTCTGGAAGAAAGCACTCTCAGACGCAGTTAGGAGGCCCTTCAGGTATCCACCTTTGAAATGGTTAATTCTGCTGCTACAAGGGAGCTTCTTTGGCTTGAAGCAGAACCAGGGCTCTCCAGTGTAGAGATCTGTGAAGTTACACAGAGGTAGACTCCCAGGAAGACATACATTGCACTCAGTGGTTTCAGAAATACTTCCTGAACGGAACAGACTCTTGAAAAAGACCCTATCTGGTTTCTCTTCCTGCAGGTGTTGAAGAACTCTGATCCCTTCACTAGGGTGAACCAGGGTTATGGACACTTTAACTTTGCCTGGCCAGAGCAAAGTAAAAAACACCTTGTAAAAGCCATTCTGGTAATCGACCACCCTGCCCACAGCCCCGGCCTGTAGCTCGGAAGAGTGGATTCTGGCCTGTAGGTAGTCTCCACCATACTTCTTGGGCTCTCTTTGAAAATCCTGCACATGAACCAGCACTTCCAGCTGACTTCCCACCTTGAAGAAGGCTGCAGAGTTCAAAATGACAAAGTAGCTAGAACATGGATCAGTGCTCTTCACAAAGGGGACTAGGCCCACATCAGACATCTGCCAATGCAGGGCAGCCAGCAAAGAGTCCTCCTCCATGCGCTCCCGACTGGACAGGATCTGGTGCTCATAGCCACAGTAGGGATTCCGGCTGATGCGGGCAGCCTGGGAGGAAACAAACTGTCCGCTGCTGTCAATGAATGTGGCTGACACAGTCTCACGGTCCAAGTACTAAAGAGAAAGACAATCAACATAAACCACTGCTACAATAAATTTCTGAATATTCACACAAACAAATCTTCAGTTCAAATTTGTACAAATAAAAAATATAGCTCACAGTTTCACAGGGCTATCTTATTGCAATGCAATAAAATTAACATGATAAATTCATGAAGCAATCTCTACACTTTGGTAAATTTTACCTAAAAGAGCTCTCCCAGGTTTTTACAGTGACTTATCAGAGAAAAAAAAAAAAAAAAAAAAAACTGATTTCTACCAGGGAAAGAGGAAAAGAACCACTTTGAAATACTCCAGAATATTGTGTTCTTAACAAAGCCTATCCTCAAAAGAAACTGTTTTACCGAAAGAGTTCGGGGTTTCACCAAGACCTACTTGAGAGAAGAAAAATACCAAACGCCAGCCCTCTGTAGGGGGAAAAAAATCAAGAATTACTAGTGAAGTTCACGACTGAGACCTAATGACAGATAACAGAATGACTTCCCTCCTCCCACACCTTATTACCATATTACAAGCCTATTTACCAGAGTTCCTTTTAACCAGTCCATCATGTCCAGGTTTCAGCCAAAAATTATGAGGCAAACAAAAAGGCAAAAGACTGAACACAGAGCAAGCATTAGAACCAGACTCAGATATTTAAAATGTCAGAATTAGCAGACTGGAGATTAAAAACAATGATGAATGCAGCTTAGTGGTACAACATTTACCTGGGCTTGGGTTCAATCCCTAGCATTACAAAAAAAAACTTTAAATATAAAAATATTTTTTCTGGGGGAAAAAGAAAATTATGTAGGCTGGAAACTTGGAATCTAAATAAAGAAGTGAAGAATAACAGAGATAGGTTAAGTGGAAGCAAAATAAAAGGACTTTTTGATGGGTTGGTTTGCTTGTTGAAGATGGGTTCTTTTTTGGGGGGGTACCAGAGATTGAACTCGGGAGGCAGGTGGCAGAACCACTGAGCTAAATCCCCAGCCCAAAGATGGGTTCTTATTAGGTTGCTGAGATTGGTCTTGAACTTCTGGGCTCAAGCAATCCTGCCTCAGCTTTCAAAGAGGCCGGGGCTACAAGCACCCACCACCACACTCAGCTAGTTTTCTTAATCTTAACTGATTTGAAAGATAACAGATTGCTAAAAGTAATAACAGCAACATTATGTGATGATGTATACTTATGTAGATACATATGCTTATATATGGTTATATATAAGTGAAGTAGATAACAACAATAATCCAAGAGACAGGATGAACTAGGAATATTTTATATAATGTACTTGCAGTAACCATGAAGTGATAAACTGCTATTTTAAAGTGAATTTAAGGGCCAGGGATTTAGCTCAGTGGTTCGGTGGCCTGCCTTGCAAGTGCAAAGACCCAAGTTCAATCCCCAGTACCAAAAAATAAATAAAATAAAGTGAACTTAAATGTATACTGCATACACTAGGGTAGCCTCTAAACTTTTTTGAAAGGAAGTAAAATTGATATGCTAAGAAAGGGGAGATCCTCAAAAAAGTAAACCTATAAATTCCATTCAACCCTTTTTGGTATCCTACTAAAAGAGTTAAAAGGCATCATATTACAGTAATACATGCATATCCATGTTTATAGCAGCACAATTCATAATAACTAAATCTTGGAAGGGGTCTATATGTCCATCAACAGATGAGAATATAAAGAAAATATGATGATTTTACCCAATAGAACATTACTCTCCCGTAAAAAAGGATAAATGAGTCATTTGTAGGAAAACTGACACACCTTGCGACCATATTATCAAGTGAAATCAAGACATACAAGCTTAAACATTGCATGGTTTCTCTTACAGAGAATATAATAGAGAGCAAAATAAAAGATAATAGGAAATAGGGAAATGGCCCTTTTTCAAAAAGAAGGGAATTAGAGACAGAGGGAGGTGTGAGGGAGAAGAGGAAAAAGAATTGAGATGTGTTATATACCTGCACCCACTCCCTACAAGGAATGTAATCCTTAAGTAATGCAAACAAATACTATAAAAAAATAACAACTAGGGGGAAAAAATAAGGAGTAGAAATGGAATTATATAAAATGCTCAACTGAAAGCATAAAAGGAAGATAGAAAACAAGAACAAAGAGCAATGATAACAAATATAGTAGATATTAATCCAATTATATCAGTATTCACTGTAAACATCAGTGGTCTAAAAACACCAATTAAAGAGGTTATCAGAATGGATCAAAAACCAAGACCTAATTTTATGTTGCCCATGAGAAAATTATTTTAAATGTAAAGATAGATATAAGTTTAAAATAAAAGGATGAAGATACACCATGCTGGACCAGGATTTAGCTCAGTGACACTGTGTCTGCCTTGGAAGTGCAAGGTCCTGAGTTCAATCCCCGGTTCAAAAAAAAAGATATACCATGCTAACACCAACCAAAAGAAAGCACTAGAAGCTATCTTAAAACCCAGATCCAGCAGACTTCAAAGCAAGAAGAGTTATCAAAGGTAAGAGGAATTACATAAAAAAAGTTATCGTAGGGTAAGTAAGAGGGTCTTATGTAAGGATAAATGGAGTCAATTCTATAATTCTACGCACTTAATAATAGAATGCCAAAATATGTGAAATAAAACTAATAGAGGAATAGGTGAATCCACACTCTAGTTGGAGATCTCAAAAACAGACATGTGGCTAAGAACACAGCTCAGCGGTACAGCACTTGCTTACCATGCATGAGGCCCTGGGTACAATCTCCAACATAAACACATTAAAGTAAAATAACGTAACATGACAGATCCAGCAGGGAGAAAATAAGGACACAACTGAACACAACAGCACCAATAATAAACTAGATATAACTGACATCTATAAACTACTTCATGTCAGGCTCACATGGAACACTCACCAAAACAGATCATACTGTAGACCATAAAATGAACATAAGCAAATTTTAAAGCATAAAAATCGTAAAATATCTGCCCTCATACTGTAAAGGAACTAACCTATAGGTCAACAACAGAAAGAAACTACATGGGTCATACAAGTCAAACATAAAATTTCCAAAGAAAGGTAAAAAATATTTTGAACTACATGAAAATGAGCATATAGTTTATCAAATATTGTTGAATATAGCAAACAGTGATTAGAGGGGAATTTATAATATTAAATGTATAAGTTAAAGAAAAGGGTTTAAAATCAATAAGCTTCCACCTTAGAAATCCTAGAAAAGGAGTAAATTAAATACAAAATAAGCAGAAAATATTAATAAAAATTATAACTAATTAGTGAAGTTCAAAACAGAAAATCAATAGAGAAAATTAACAAAACAGAAGTCTGTTCCTTTAAAAGAATAGGGGAACTACAGGGGGAAAGGGGAAAGGGAAAGGAAGGGGATTTTTTAAAAATCAAGCTGTATTGTGTACATCTACCAACTATCCAAGATGACTACAAAATGCATGTACTGCAAACATGTACTAATAAATAAAACAATAATAATAAAAGTGAGCCAGGCATGGTGGTGCATGCCTGCAATCCCAGCACTCAGGAAGCTGAGGCTGGAGGATCGCTGTGAGTATGAGGCCAGCCTCAGGTGCATACTAACTTCAAGGTCTTCCTAAACTTCAATTCCCAGCACTGTAAAAAAAGAATAAAGATATAAGTACAGTAGTCCCCTTACCTATCTATGATTTTACTTTCCACAGTTCCAGCTACCCATGGTCAACTGTGGTCTGAAAATAACAAATGAAAATTTCCAGAAATAAATAATTACAAAGATATAAACTGCACATCATTTTTGAGTAGCATGATGAAATTCTGACTCCTCCTCTCAGGACAAGAATCACTCCCCATAAGTGTCTGGGTCAACTTTGGTTCCCATCTCCACAGCAGCAGTGATTGTTGAGTGGAGACTAGGGTAGTTGCCCAAAATGGTGAATATCAAAATCTTTTTTTTTTTTTTTTTTAA